ACGGCGTGTTTTGGTAGATGTCGTAGTGGCCTTAGTGTTGGCCATGAAGGTCTTATCACGAATGACGTAACTGCGGTCGGAACGGCGTGAACGTCGATAGTTGGCAGGAGAACGTGCTCTGGCGTGGGGAGAACCACGGGGCGAACCACGGCTCGGGGAACGTCTGCCACGTCCTTTGTCACTGCCATATGATATATCACGGCCGCGTGGGCTGCCACGTCCGCCGCCACGGTTGTCTCGTCCTCGGGAGGTAGATCTCGAAAATCTGTCGCATCGACTTCTCGATTGACTGCGAGAGTCTGGGGACATCATGGGTGTTGAACGAGATCGGTCGCATTGGCGTCGGTTGTCACGTCCATGGCGCGAGTCGTTTGCGTAGCGGAAACCCCCGCGTTGTGAAGAACGTTGGCTTCCTGATCCGCGGGGTGGTGATCGGCCATGACTATCCTGACTGGATGTCCGTGGTCGACTCGGGCTTCGCTCGGGAGTCTTCGCACCAGGTGTAAGATGAGCGTATTTGCATTTATCGCCCTTGGGACATTTGTTCTGTGCGAAGTCTTTACACTGTGCAACATCTGGAAAGTTGCACTTGTCGCCTCTGGTGCATGTGTTGCGCTTGGCGAACTCGAAGCAAAATGGTTTCGATGCTGGCTTCTTGTGATTCGCGGGAGTTGACATGCTGCGGCGGGGGTTGCCACCAGCTGTCGGTGCTCTGGAAGATTTGTTGTTCTTCCAACCCCTGGAATATGCATGCAAAGCCTTGCGCCGTTCACCATTGCGACAATTGCCTTTCTTCCAGGCAGCGCACGCATTGACTTGAGAACGTGTCTCATGTTCGTACCGTAACTTATTATGATTCTTCTCCAATTGTTTGAGCTCCAGTACGTCCAGGACGCGCTGTCGGGGCCAATCATAGGCACGATTCGGGTCGCTGATCTTCATGCGCTGGCACTCGTACACGTCTTGTTTCATCCAGGCATGTCTCCGAATCTGTGTACGAACCAGAGATTCCAAGATCTTTGGATCGGGTGCTTCTCGGCACTCCAATAGTAAAGCGTCCCAGTCAGTAATAAAACGTTGCAAATCTTCATCTCTCACCCTCAGTTCTTTCAGGCGCTCGAAGTCGCGCAGGTCGTCATCAACCTCTGTCACTTTGCAGGACTGTAGGATGTGCCAGTATATCTGGCGTCCTTTGAGCATGCGTCCTGATTTGTGCTCTCTGGTTTCGATGGGCCTGATTTGGTAGCGCAAGTCGGAGGATAAGATGTCGCTCAGAGCGGTAGCGAGTTTGCAATCGATGCTCTCAAAATCTCCACTGTCTTGTAAGTCCTCGAAGGCACACTCGGGCTGTTCAGCCACGCATAGGAAGGCATATGCTTTGGATGGTCGCCCTGAGGCGGCGCCAAAGTTCCCCCGTGCCTTTTGCTGCCATTCGAGCAGCTGCGTGATCTTAGGCAGGACAGGGACTCGGACGGTGTCTGACTCCTTGATAGGAGTAGTAGTATTGACCGAAACCGCAGACAATGGTTGCGAGGGTATCGGTACACCGTCAGTAGTCGGTTCTGTGCGCACAGGAGACACATGGCGTGTCTGTGCAGAAGCTGCCGCAGAGGCTGCTCCTGGTGACGTACGTCGTTGTTGTCCTGCAGAAGCTCGTGGTGCTTCGGCGGACGCTGCCGTCGGCCTGTGCAGGTCGGTTGCAGATCGAAGGTGGAGACTGGTGTCGTTGGTGTGGTCGATCAGCTGATTCGTCCAGCTCGTCATGTCTTCGTGTATTTGGGCCACCTTTTGGCGTGTGTACTCATCAGTATCCCGAGAACGTTGTGAGTACCGATCAAGTCGTTGCTCGTAGGCTCGGAGACGGGCGCTTTGTGCCTCCAGCTCGCTTTCCAGACGTGCGAGGCGCCCCTCAACACGTACCTTCTCAGTATCTCTCTCACGAATAACCTGGGAGAGCTCCAACTGCGCGTGGCCCGCCGCCTTCTCAACCTCCTGCAACCTGTCAGTGAGGCGGGCGAAATCGTAAACCGTGGGAGGAGAATCCAGCTGATCAGTCTGGGCTCGTCCGACACGCAACTCTGCCAGGGCGCCCTGTACACCAGGAAAACGCTGCTCGATTTCAGAGATCCGGTTAGCGAGTGGCTGCGCGACAGCGTTGGTCGCATCAAGCTTTTGAGTGATGACTCTCTCAGTATGCTGCAACATGTCGATCAGGTTCGACGAGTTGGTGTGTGCTTCGTTGCGAAGCGTCGCCGTAGCGCGGTCAATGCAGGATCGAAGATAATTGATATGAGACCGAACGTCGCCAAGGTCGGTGGCCTCGGCTGGTGTTGGTCGATTGCGGAGCTGGTCGTGGATCTCATCGTGTAAGATCCTGACTGCTGAGGCGCCTGTGTCGCGTACGAGCACAAGCTGTTGCTCCATCTGCGCTAGGTAGTTGCGCAGGTTCTCGACCATCGCCGTTCGTTCACCTGGGTGTGACACCTCACGATCAACCTGGTACTGCAGTTCACCTATGATGCGTCGATCTTCGGCGATCCTTGAATCAATGATCCCTAAGGCGCCGTCAAGATCTTGGCGTATGGCTGCAGTATTGGCAGCGTTCGTCTGAACGCTCTGCAGTAGTCCAGAGTGTTGCCTGGACACGAAGGTTTCAACCTGGTCTCTGAGCTCAGCTATTTCACCTGCGGCGGACGTTTCCGCCAGCTGGTCGTCTGAGATGGAGAGGCGGGGAGCATAGGCTTCCCTCTGCCCCCTCTCGCGAGGAGTGCTTGGCCTCTGAGAAGCTGCACGCGGGCTCGACCTACTCTCGCCGTATGGGCCTGGGGCCCCACGACGGTTGCGCGCGGACGAGCTGCGACTAGGACCGCGTGTGTGTGTGCGGTGTCTCATCCGAGGATACCTTGGGATACTGCGTATGCGGCTGTGCCGCCACTGGTCTACTGAGTTCCTCGAAGGTGGCTACGTGCCCCGCAACAGGAACGGTCGCAGGGCTGGGGGTACCAGCGCCTGAGGTCCATCGGCGGTTAGCGCGAAAGCGCCCTGGAGTATCAGGACCAGTGAGGCTTTCGCCTGACGCAGTTGGGAATGCTCCCGACTGAGGAGGAGATGGAGGATCGAAGGTAGGCGTGCGAAACTCCTTCCTACCTGTTCCTACTCCTTCTCCTGCCCCCCCGCGGGCGGCGCTGCGGTGAAGTTCAGCAGCTAGCCGCGCCTCGGGTCCGTCGGAGCTGGGGGGGGTACCTGGGACACCAACACAGTCCGCACTAAGGCTCTCCAACTCATCACCGAGCCGTCGCGCCGTCGGACAGCTCGGACGCGAGGCCCCGATGGACCCCTTACGGCGCATGCGCCGCTTGGGTTCCATCGAGGCCGCGTGCGAGGTCGCGACGCGGGGTACGATGAACAGTGAGCTTTAAAGGGCTGATAACCTGTGTATGGGGTTGAAGTACAAGGGTACAAAACCCCTGATCCGTTGGTAGAGGGAAAGAGGGATAGATGGATGTCTTTCCCTCCTGCACGATCAAAGGTCTGATCCATCTGTCCCAATACCTGAGCCCAAACGGCCAGGCGCAGGAGAGGTGAGGATAAAGAGTATTATATGAGGGTATTACACGGATTCTATTCACAGATTGAGGGTCGGTGCCATCCCCCTCCGAGCCTGTCCCCTGGTAGATTTAGGGTTCTCATTCGGGCCGGTGGCTGCCGTTCGGGGCGATCTGGGCACCCCAGGACAATTTCGGCGATGCGCAGCCGCTGGAAGGTATCCTGTTGCTGAAAAACTGCCGAGAACCAACAACAACTTCCGAAACCCTCACACCTCGAGAGCCGGGTCTGGGGAAACCAACAGAGACATATTCCGCGTTACTCCCCGGAACTCTCCCAAGGTTAGTTCTGGCTAGAATTTCGAGACGAATCCAGCCGTGGCGACGAGGGTCTCCGGGAGGCCCACGAAGGCGAAGACGAAGCAAGGGCAGCGGTACCCGCACTGTTTCCTCCACTGACACACCCAATTCACGTTGCCCCTGAAGCGGGGGGGATACCTCCTGCGCGCAGACTCCAGACCCCCGACGCCACGATCTGTCATGCCGCGGGACCCCTGGAAGTCTCGACCCGCTCCCCGGGACCGGCTCCTCCTCCCGAATCACTTTTGTGACAGCCCCGGGGCCCAGCAGGGGCATCCAGAAAGGCCGAAAGCCGCAGAAGGCTAAGCGCCCGGATTAAGTTTCACGAGGCGAAAGGGGGTCTTGAGCAGCAACCGGCCGTGCCGGCAGCATTCCTAGAAGCCTATCACGACATGTTCTCACAGCCCCAAAACAGTTCTGAGAGCCAAACGGTTCATATGATAACAGCCCGCGTTGGCTCCAAATTGATTAGACGACTCGACTCAAAGAATCAGAGGAATCAAGCATACTCGGAATCCGCAACTCAGCAAGCAAGCGAGCGTGCAAGCAAGCGCGCAAGCAAGCGTGCAAGCGCGCAAGCAGGCATAGGCATAGGCGTAGGCATAGGAGTTAGGGGGAGGCATATGCATAGGCATATGCATAGGAATTCAAGGGGGCATAGGAATTAGGGGGTGGGCAACGGACCAATTAGCAGGGTTTGAGCTAGAACTCCTATAGGGCAAGCCTATTTGGAGAACGCACAATCTAAATGTTAAAACGAGTCAGTCTCAGCCAGGAATGTTCTGAGAACATCTCGTGCCAGCTAAAGAAGGTCATTAAAACATTCTTTGGTGGGCCTATAGGATGAGTGTGCAGGGGAGGCCAGGTCGAAAGGATCGGGGCGCAGGGCGCTCGGAGTGCCACTTGTTTTTCAGCCTGCAATGTCTGCTTGGGAACAGCTGGCCGCCATGGGCGACGCGCCGACACCTCCAAAGGAAGTTGCACCGACGACCAGAAGATACAGTCGTCAGGCTCCTGCGCGCAGCTCCACGGAGAGGCAGGGGACCTGGCCCAGGAACATCTGGCGATCGGGTCGGCTGCCCCCGAGGCCGAGGCCCCGCCGGTCCGCGCAGCGGCGCGGCGGCCGGCCGCCGTGGTGGGCACCGGGATGCCCCCGGGGAGCGTCGGCGGCCTCGCCTCGGGGCGGCGGTCGGGGCGGCGCCGAGGCCGAGAGGCGAGGCGAGGCGAGGCGCGCCGTGCTCGGCCACGGAGGCCGACCCGCACGGGGCAGGGCGCGTGGGCCGTAGCCCTCAGGTGTCGCTCCTCTGCCAGCAGTCAGATCGAAAGGCTTTCTGATCTTCTGCGCAATTTTTGGGCGAGCAACGACATATGTACATGTACGCCCTCCGCAGTCTTGCCTGCACGAACGTCCGCGTTGACACGCACTCCAGGGGAAACTAACCGCGTACGTGTACAATGCTGCTGGCCTATGAATTGTGCCATGCTCCATGGATACCCTTTGATCCAAATAACATTTGAACATGGTCTGACCAACGACACCGATGTCTTCCTTGAAACCTCAGTGCACGCTGCGGCTCCCGGGGGGGGGTCACTACTGCACTGCTGCAGTCAAAACTGAGAATGAGGATGCGCGAGAAGGATCCCCCTGAGATCCTGGCGTTGCAATTCTTTTGCCATGGGCGTTTTCGCTTCATTTTGGGCCCCCGGACACTCAAAGATCGTCTGGCTCTAAAAATGACAGGAAGATGGGGTCCGGGGCTATGGTCGTGATTTTTTGCTGAGTATGGAGCGAGGCCCCTTCTGTGGCACTAGAAGAGCCTGAATATACGAGGAGGACTGGAGGAACAACCACGGGCTGACCTAAGGAACAGCGAGTCGCTTCCGGACCCAAAAGCCTCCTAGGTGGGGTCGAAGTAGACAGGGTCGGAGGATCGCGCAATATCGCCGGTGCACCGCCGATGAATCGCCGACGCATCGGCGATGCATCGGCGCCGTCGGCGTGAAGCAAATCGGGGTCCACATTGAGCCGCATCGCAGATGAATCGGCGATGCGGCGCGATCCTCCGACCCCAACTACTTCGACCCCATCTGGGAGGCCTATACCATCGGTCGGAAGAAGTGGGTAGATACATGAAGCATGAAGGCGTTGGAAGTCGCTTGGGCTTCCGCCCGCCATCTAAAGGGAAGGAAACTGGGAAATGACTTGACTCTTCAAGCAGTAAAAAGCCAGCAGTAGACTGGGATCTGGTAGGCCACACATACCTACTTCCAACAAGTACCTACTTAGTCTCAACCACCAATTGTTACTTGGATCACCGCGGGGTTTGCCAAGTGGATCGGAATCTTCAATCTTGGCGCATTTTCCTCGATTTCGGCCTATGGGGCCCGAGACGAGAAGCTACTCGGGCGGGGGCGACGGTGCATAGAGGGCGGGGGGGGGGAGAGGGCAGACGGGACAGCGACGCAGGAGAGGAGAAGAGAGGAGAAAGAGAGAGAGAGAGGGATGGGGCCGTGTGCGGGCGAGGAACCAGCACAGGGACAGACAGAGGAAGAGAAAAGAACATTGCACACGTGAACGAGGACAAGAGAAAAGTCTTTCGCCGAAACCCGGGACGAGAAGCTACCCCTGGGGCAGGAGCGGCGACCTCTGCCTTGCATCACCGCGGCCCGGAAAAAGCTGCACCAAGACCAACGCAATTAGGGGGCCGCCTCCCCGCGGGGAAGAAGATCCCAGATGCGGCAGTGGCGGTGATCGGTCGGCCACCTGAGAAGCTCGAGGGTTACCATCACCGAGATCGGGACTTTCTTCCCTCGCCAATGGGGCAGAGGGGGACACCAACAAATCGGCAATCATTCACGGATGTCCCATCTGTTTCAACATATCCTGGACCGTCCTCTTCCCTTCCATCTCCCAGACCTTCCCATGGTTTATGATATTCAACTACATTGTGGTGTCTGTACTTAGTCTCGGCTGCGAGCCCGGGGTGGTTGAGAAAAGGCGGGCCTTCTCAGAAGGCTTGGAAGTCCCCCGTCCTTCTGAGAAGTGTCCTGGGCCTGCCTACCCCGACGACGCAGGAAACTCCTCAGAAGGCGCGAGGGCTTCTGCGAAGTCCCGCAGCTTCCTGAGGAGGCCCTCTCTTTCTCGCATCCCCCCCTCGCTCGAGACCGTTTTCTTTGAATCGGCGATAACCCGGGTTATCCGGAGGGGGGAGGAGGAGGAGCGGAGGGGGCAGCAACGGGACCTGCACAACCGGCAAGGTTGGGTTATCCTAAAGGGGGGGGGGGGGGGGAAGCCCGATGACCCGGGCTATCGCAGGACCCTAACGAAAAACGGGCTCCTCGCCAACGACGGCGCCTCCCTCCCGACTCGCAGCCGCCGAGGCTGGTGCCCAACCTCGACCTCCACGGCCTCCGGTCGGGCCGTCAGGCCCGACGGCCGCAGCCTGCGCGCGCCCGGGGCCCCACTCGCGAGCCGGGGTCCGGGCCCCCTGGCGTGGTGAAGCCCATCACGCTGCGGGGGGGGGCCTGCAGCGTGATGGGCTTCACCACGCCAGGGGGGCCATGGGCGCCCAACTCGCCATCGCTGGGACGGCCATTCCCCGTGCAGTTGGTCGACTTCCTGCGCGTCGTGCGAGGATCCCAGATGCTTCTCGACGGTCCTCGCCGAGGAACAACTGCACACGCCCGAGCGGTGCCAAGCTAACTTCGCGCTTCGCGCTGCGCGAAGCGAGAGTACTTCATTTCGCGCTCTCGGGCCGCCCCCGGGGGAGAAGGGGGAGGACGAGCAAGAATCGGAGCCGAACCGCGAAGCGCGAAATAGCTTCGCGCCCTCGGGCCGCCCCCCGGGGGAGAAAGGGGAGGACGAGCAGGAAGCTCAGCCAGACCGCGAAGCACGAAATAACTTCGCGCCCTGGAGGGCGCCCTTGGCTCTTGCACTTCTAGGGGGCCACATGCGAACCCTACCCCCACCCCCCACGATTTCTGAGGGGGAGGGTTCGCATGCGGTCCCCTAACTTCTGCGCGGGTGGGAACAATGGGGGGGTGACCATACAAAGGGGGTGGTGAGCGGCAGGCCCTCGCGGGGCCCCGGGACCGCGGAGCCAGCATTCCACAGGTAGACAAGCGCGCTCCAAATATTCGCAAATGAACTTATCGCAAGAGGCCAGGAACCGCCTTGGGGGATTTGCAATTCACTGCGTCGAGGCAGACATGCGTGTGTTTCGGACGCTTGCGAGTATGCGCTTTGCGAGGAGTGGAATCGGCTCGGTGCACAGGAGGAGCCACTCCCGGGAGATGGGTCGAGGCCGTGGGGGTCAGCGTCGTGACGAAATCATGGGGTCGGGGGCCTGGGAGGCTCCCCGATCCCCGAAGACGTGGGCTCTTCAATCCGAGTGCGCGTCTTCATTGGTGCCGGCCCTCGGGGGCCGCTTTCGGGCCGCGGGGGCCATCCAAAATGGATCTCCGTGGCGACAACATGCCCCTTGAGGAAGGGGTCGGGAGCCCTGAGGCCGCGCAGAGGGGGAAATGCCATCGTCCGATGGTTGGATGGTCGGACGTTTCCATTCGCTTCCCGGCGGTTTTCCAGCCTCGGGGTGCTCCCCAGCTACTGCGCAGCGCATCGCGCAGCTCCCGATGGGGTGCCCGCTCGAGTCTCTGGGGGGGTCGAGCGCCCGCGGCGGCGCGCGCGCTCGTGCCCGCACGCCGACATCGCGGACGAGCCCAGGCGCCCGACGATCCTGCTCAAGTAGTCTGCAGCCTCCGCCGCTTCCGGGATCCTCGGAGGATCTTCGGAGGAAGGCTGCCTCCCCCAGAAGGGCGTCGGGAGACTGGCCATCGCTCGGACGTCCATTCCCTGTGCTTTTTTCGGTTTCGTGCGTGGTTTTCTCGCCAAATGATCAAGAATGCTCCTCGATGGTCCTCGCCGAAGGAAAAATCCACACGTCCGAGCGATGCCGAGGAGACCCAAAGGCCAACGTGTGAGGGGGGGAACGCCGAGGCGCCGGAGGTCCCGAGCAAGCGCGTCGTCGCGGAGCCGCGCGGCGGGGCACGGCCCCTCTGTCCAAGGTCTTACGATACAGTCGGGCCTGGGACAGAAGGACAGCCCTCAAGAGCACGAGGCCCTCCGTCGGCCAAAGCACGCAGGACATCCAAGGGTAGCCTCCACAGGATGCACTAAGAGCATCCAACACACGACGGTGGGTGGACCAAAAGTGTCCACGCCCATCGCGCCACGATGATACGACATCGAACTGCGTCGAACACATACCTACAGCCCCCCTCCCCCAACCCAAAGTTGATAGGGTTGGATGCGAGGCAACGCGCGGGGGACAAAATCCGCCGACCCTGTCGGCGTGTGGAAGACGCATCCCGGTGTCGTCGTCTTGCGTGGATCACCGTCGTCGTCGTCGTCGTCGTCGTCGTCGTCGTCGTCGTCGTCTCCGTCGTGTCCTCGTCGTCTCCGTCTCCGTTGTCCCTCGTCGTCTTCGTCGTTCCCCGTCTCCTTGAGCGCGCGAGCCAAAGCGACATTGAGCAACGTCGTAGTTGAGTCGTGGCGAAGCCCCTCCCTACCCTCCCCGCCGGGGGGGGGGGGTCGCCGGGGGGGGTCGCCGGGGGGGGTCGCCGGGGGGGGTCGCCACCCAGATACGCATCCTCCCCGGGGGGTCCCGGAGCTCAGAAAAGCTTCAAGACGAGCCAAGAGCGACAGAAGACACCCCCAAAAGGGTACAAGAGGGCCTCGACTCGACGAACGATGGCCCCAAGACGCCCAAGACGGCCCGAAGACGGCCCAAGAGGCCCTCAAGACGCTCCAAGAGAGCCCCAAGAGCACACCCAAGAGGGCCCCAGGCGCCAAAATCGTAAATTTTACATCGGTTTTTGAATGATTTTGGCCTTCTCGCCTTTTCGGCTTTCCGACACTCCAAGACGGCCCAAGAGGCCCCCAAGAGGCCCCCAAGAGCGCCCCAAGAGGCCTACAAGAGGGCCCCAAGACGGCCCAAGAAGGCCCCAGGACAGCCTAAGAGGCGCCCAAGACGGCCCAATAGGGCCCCAAGACGGGCCCAAGAAACGGCCAAGAGGGGGACGAGGAACCGAGAATTCGAGACTTCCGCCCTAAGAGGCCCCCGGGAAGCCCCAAGAGGCCCCCAAAAGGCCCCAAGAGGCCCCCGAGCGGCGCCAAGACGCCCCCAAGATGCGCCGAAGACGGCCTCCGGAAGCCCCAAGAGGCCCAAAAGAGGCCCCAAGAGGCCCCACAACGGCCCCCAAGAGGCTTCAAGTTGCCTTCCAGACGCCCCCGAGAGGTCAACCACGAGATCCCAACCAACATCCATAAGGCCTCCTCCTCCTCCCCCTTCACCCTTCCTCCTCCTACTCCCTTCCGCCCCCTCCTCCTCCTCCTCCTCCTCCTCCTCCTCCTGCCCCCCCCCCTCGTGTTGTCTTTCGTCATCTTCAGGGTCGGCGGCAACGGCCGTAAGGCCTTCGCAATATGGACACTTTAACTTTGGGTTTGGGGGTGATGGGGGGGCGAGCCACGTGTACTTTGCAATTGTCGTTGCCATCATGCCTGATTGTCTTCACGCCGTCGGCGTGGACACTTTTTGTCCAGGCACCTGAGGGTGCCATCCCTGAATTGATCTCGAACTTTACTTCGGTCCGACTGTACATGCGAGGTCCCCCTGTGATACTCGGGACGGGGAGCCGAATAGGGCGTGTGGCGCCAAGTGCGTCGGCGGTCCGGGGCCGGCGGCGAGGCTGGGCGGATCCCAGGCCCGTCCCGCCCCAAAAACGGCAGGGCAATTTTGCGGGCAATACTTCTGTCCATATCCACTGCAGTATGGAGTTTCGGGCTCCCTTCCCAAGAAACCCGAGGCGCACTGGATATGGATAAATTTGCCCCCTAGAGGCTCGATTTGTATCCATATCCAGTGCGCCTCGGCCATGTGGCGCCGCTTCCAAAAAAGTCCAAGAGGCACTGGATATGGACATGAATCTTGCCCGCAAATTTGTTCACCGTGTCTGAACGTGTCTCGTTTGAAAATGGGAACGGTGAAAAAAACGACAAGCAAAAACGGCAATAACGGCTGCAAACTTGTAACCGAAACGGGACCGGCAAAACACGGCGACGGAACTGGGAAAAACGGCGTCGGAACCGGCAACAAGAACGGCAAAACGGAACCGGTATAAAGACGGCCCTGTCGTTTCCAGGGCCTTCTAAGTCTCAGGGGCTCCATTTGGGGATCTACTGACATGGGTCAATCCAGATCCAGGTCAGTCAGGCCTTGCAGGACTCTGAAAGAAGCCCTGGTCAGTGCGCCTATGGCTCTGCAGGATCCTTCATGGTCTGGCGCTCTGACTGACCCCCGCTAGCATTGACCCTCGCCCCTTGAGCCCCGATCCATCTTCAATGCCCTGGGCCTGGTCTAGGCCGAAGAGGCCCAGAGACTGTCCCGCGAGCGCCCAAGGAGGCTCCAGGACGCCGCGCCAGCGTTTCGGTCGCAGAGGGTGCTGCGGTGGCTCGCCCGCCAGGGGCGTCGCCGAGATAGAGAACCCTGGACCCCTCACAGTTCCAGGAACTGGGGCTGCAGAAACGCGCGTGCCCAGGCAGCCGTGGGTACCCCGCGGACCTGGCGGCCCGACGTTTGCAAGCCATGGGCCACTGAACCTCTCGGACCCTTCCGCAAGGCCAGTTCTCCACCCCAGATATCGCGCATTGTCGGCCCCAGGGTCCGAGAGGTGCCTCCCGATGCCCCCCAGAAGGCCAACTAAACGGCCGTCACGATACTTTCAGGCCATCAGGTGCCTTGGCATCCCCCGATCGGCGCCGATTCACCGCCCGCCTGGGACTTGGACTCGTCGGCGCTGTTGTCGGTGCCCTCCTCGGAATCGCCTGAAAGCGCCCCGCCCCCGTCCTCCTGCGACCACCCGATGCGTTTCGCTGGAGGCGGCCGCTGTACGCACACCGCGGGGCAGTCCTGGTTCCGGGGATTGCGCACGCAAGCTCGTGGCCCCACCAGGATGGCGACGGCCCCGCGTGGCCATGGGTGGGGATGATTGATGGTGGTGCGTGGCTGCCGTCCGTGGGATATCCTTCCCTTCCTCCCCCTCGTCCCCCTCGTTCTCCTCCTCCTCCTCCTCCTCCTCCTCCTTGCAGCTTGTTGGGAGGGCGTCATGTTGCCGGTGGTCACGTCGATCCAGGCACGCACTTCGCGAGCGAATTCGCGGAAAGGTACTTGACCGGACGGGTCCCAATGGGGGCCGGTCGTTCTTGTGTCGTCTCCGCCACGCATATGTCCCACCGCACTCCCGATAGCGACCCATGTGAGCGCAAAGATAATAATACCAATCCAATAGCCTCGCAGGTCGTCATCGGATGTAGTTGGTTGGGGTTTGCGGTGCGTGGTCGTAAGCCTGCGTGGGGGTGGAGGCAGCACAATGTCGTATCGCACGTTTCCATGCAGTATGGCTTCGAAGAAGTTTCAAATTGGAGTAGGTGGGTGGACTTCAGGAGTGGTGTAGCGCAGGGATGTAGGACGCGAGGAAGGGGCCTCTGCGTACGCAGAGGTATTACTGCAAGTGCCCTTGCTATGCTGCGTAGTTATATACACCCCTCCGCGCAAACCCACTGCACCCTGATGTTCCACCACGTCAGTAGTCCACCAGATAGTGCCGTGGATGGTGAGGAGTAGCGCAAGAGTTGACCACCGTAGGCCAGCTCCGCTACCAAGTTTGAAAGGGGGTTGGGAGGCCCAACCAGCAGCTTCGCCTTGGGCGAAGCCAAGCTCCAGCTCTGTTGTACCGTAGTAACGATAGTCCCAGTAGTAGGAGGCGAGCCATCTCAAGCAGTTTTGGTATCGATGGCAAATAATACACCTCGCACTGAGGTGTAGTCATTCAGATCTAGGCGGCCGGCCGCTTTGAGCCAAGCAGCCGCGGATGCACGCTCGTTCCCACTCACATGCAACGCCCTGCTCACTTTAGAGTCTCTCTTCGTTGTCCTTCTGTCTTCCTAAACTCTTCCGTCCCCTCTGTCCCTCTCCTCTACCACTCTCCTTTTACTCTCCCTCTCCTCCCCCCCTGCCCACTTCCCCCGCTCGTCGTCTCACTCGCCTTCGTCCTCCTCCCTCCACCTCGCCCTCGCCCTGCTTCTCATCCTCGAACCCAGGTCAGCGGAGAGATGGGAAGGGGTGGGTCCAGCTACACATGGACCCCCCGCTCAAATCTGGGCCAGCAGGAAGGACTGGCGGACCGCCATCAGGCGTGACCCCTATGGAAGAATACCACTGTACAAACAGAGCCGTTCGAAGCTCTGCGCGGATTTCTTGGGTCGGTCCTGGACCCCCTGGCTAGGTGGCGACATCCGAACCTTTCCCTCCCCCAACCATCGATTCTCCTGAACAAATGGGTGGCTGGAGTAGGATTCGGATTTCGCCACTTGTTCGACGAATTTTGAAACCTACCCCCGCCGCCCATCGAAGTGCCTGGCTCGTTGGTCGACAGGGTACGGTTCGGATTTCGCCACGTGTTCGCCAAACTCCGAGCCATAGCCCCGCCGCCCATCGAGGTGCCTGAATCGTTGATCAGCGAGGGTAGGATTCGGACTTCGCCGCCGACTGGCGGCGACTCAGGCGCGGCCCCGCGGACCTCCGAAACGTTCTGGTTGCGCAGCATGCTTCTCGTCTGTCCCACCACGTGCGCGGGGCTCCTCGGGGCCTCCGGAGATCCCCGCGTGGCATCCCGAGGCCCGCGGAGGCATCAGCCGGGCCGAAGACGTCCAACGACTCTGCAAACGCGAAGCTTGCCATCGCTCGAACGCCCATTCCCCGTGAATTGTTCGGTTTCGTGCGCTTGCTTTTTCGCAAGATGATCCAGTATGCTCCCCGATGGTCCTCGCCGAGACAAGATGCGCACGTCCGAGCGATGCCAAGGGATGGAAGAGGACGATGAAGGACGAGGAGGAGGAGGACGATGAGGCGCAGGGGACGGCGGCGACGGCGACATCGAGGGCAGAAGAGGAAGGACGGAGGGAAGGAGAGAGGGAGGGGGGATCCTCGATCCTCGAGGGATCCTCGACCGATCTTCGAGTGGGGAACGGAAATGGGACCCAGACCCCCGATGCTTTTCATTCAGCACGTGCACCCCAGGACGTCTCGATTCATGCCCTGGGGCCAGCTTTTAAAATCCTGGGTACTTTTCTTACGGTCCCGGGGCCTGGCGAGGGTCCCCAGAGCCCGAACACGGCGAAAAACAGGCATCGCGATTTTTATTACATACGTTTGAGGGCATGTGATACCGCTGCTCCCTGGCCCTCTTCAGGGGTGCGTTCTGGCCAGAATCTCGAAGCGAACCCAGCCGCGGCGACGAGGCGAAGGGTAGCGGCATCGGCATATTCTCCTCCAACACATCTCGAGGAATCCTCGACCGATCCTCAAGCGATTCCATCTTGGCCTGTCCAATGATATGCTCTGTTCAGTGCGCGGCCCCTCCCGGAGGGTCTAAAATTTCTCGTTTGGGAGGGTTGAGACCCCCTCCCTTTTATTACGAAATCTGGAGTAGATGCTTGACGGCCCCAGGGCCCGAGGACGAGTCCCATCGATCGACATCGAGGACACACGCCCTGATGAAAACAAAAAAGCCAACCGTCGGAGAAACCTACGCGTGGGGGGGTAGCTAGACGAGCGCGTCCCACTGCTCTCAATGTGACCCAAGGGGGGCTTGCGATCCATCACGTCGAGGCAGACGCTCGTGTTGATTCTGACCTGTTGCGAGTAGGCACGCTGCGACTAGTGGAGCGCGCTCGGTGAGTAGAGGCCTCCCACACAGGGTGGGAGCGAATGGGGTCGGAGGACCGCGCTGCACCGCCCATGTGCAGCGGCGACGCTTCGGCGATGTACTGGTGATGCGTCGGCGTGGAGGGTGACGACGGCGCCACGCCGAGCCGCATCGCCGCTGCATCGGCGATGCGGCGCGGCCCTTCGACCTGCTCGCACCCCAGCTCCTCCTCCTCCTCCTCCTCCTCCTCCTGCTCCTGCTCCTGCTGCTCCTCCTGCGCACTGACCTAAGGAAAAAGGGGCGAGGTCCCTCGATCCTGGCAAAAACGGGGGGGGGGCCATCGGAGCGAGGCCTTTTTGTCACCCTTCCAGGGTGTGACTGCCCTAGCAGGGGCCAGCGACAGGGCCCCCCCTCAAAACCTAACTTAAAGTGGGCGAAGAGCCTGCCCACTCTCGACGAGGTCACGGGGCCGCCAAGGCTCGACGAGCCGGACCCAGTCTCGCCCGACCTTGTAGCGACCCTGGGCCAACCCTCGCAAGACGCGGCACCCCCAGGCAGTGGGCCTCTGACTGCAGGCCTCAGGGAAGGAGGCCTGGAGGGTGACGCCACCAGCGCCGCATACAGCACAAACAATCCCCTTCGCTCCATTGGCCAGGGAGATGGGAAACGCACGATGGGTGACATGCCCGCTGCGGGCCAGGGCCGCAAGGGCAACGTCGGCCCTGGAGAGGACGGGCGGAACCACGACCTCTGGCGGCAGCACAACACAGGCATCCTTGCGCGGCTGCAGCTTGCGCCTCCCAGGAGGAACGCGCTCCGCGTCGACGTCGGCCATATTGAGGCCAACACGGCCAGTGCAGATGGTGAGGAATTTAACGACCTTGGCCTGGGCCTTAAATTTGACACGGTACTCGGCCGACACGCGCGAGTGGGCGGCAGCCTCCTTGGCGGCGGCGTCGGCGAGCAGGTTGCCTGCGCGCTGCCGCTCGGAGATGGCGCCTCGCTCGAGGTCGCCGCGAGAGGTGTGGGCCTTGACCTTGAACAGACGCAGGCAGCCCCCCCCCCCCCCCCCGATCCTCGAGGCAGGCCCACACCTGGATCCAGATATCGGCCCAGGCCGACTTGGCCGAGCAACAAAAACTTTCCCCCCGCTGCCAGACCCCTCCAAACACGAACTGAGAGTCGGTCCAGAAGGTGGCGCCAGGGGCAGACCAACGAAGGGCCATGAGAAAGGCTCAGAACTCACGCGCGTCAGTGTCGTACATTCCCGCAGGGAGGCCTCCCGCGACAACGGCGGCCGCGACGGGCCGATCGTCCTGGAGAGCGACGCACGACCAAGCGAGGGACTGCACGACGGGGGGGAGCTCTCCATCGAGGAGGCTCCCGTCGAGGAAAACATCACCGTCAAGCATGCTGGGGCCCCCCCGAACCCAGACCTCCGAGGGGGGGGGGGCGAGGGGGGAGGGGGAGCAGGCAGCGGCACGAGCAGCCTCTCCGCGAGGAGGCGGCCGGGAGGGCAGACGCTGGCGCGGAGGAGCGAGGCGGTCACTGGCGGGGTCTCAAGACCGAAGACCTGCTCGTGGCCAGGGCGCGCGAGGTGCCTGCGCAGGAGAGTGCCAGGCGAATCGAAACAAACCTGACAAACGGCCGAATCAGAGAGCCTGCACTCCGCTTGCCGCGCCTGCGGCCATTGACCCCCCGAGACGACGGAGACGATGTACGCTTTTTCTTGGGCCGTCAGAGCTCGCATGCCCGAAAAAATTGGGGCCAGAAAGGGCCCGCGCTGAAAGGCAGGCTGATCGAGATGCTCGGCTACTCTGCGCCAACACCAAGCGTCTACGATGCGCGCCAGCGCGAGCACGATCGTGCGAGGGCATAGCTCTGCCAGTGAGAAATAGCCGACGACAGGGTGGTACCACCGCAGGCCGTCGATGCTGATGCCCAGCCTCTTGGCCGTGGCCACACACGCGGAGAAGGGCCCTCGGATAGCTTTCCAGGGCGAGGGGTGCCCCCCCAGAGCGCGGCAGGCCCCTTGGAGGCCGGCCGCGACGACGCCCTGCGGGACCCAGGACTCCCAGACCGCGGAAGCCAAGTGGAAGAGAGGCATGATATTCAGAGCGCATGCTGGGTCGGGCTGCCGAACCCCTAGCATCTGTAGGAGTAGCGTGAGGCTGCGCCCGTGCAGTCGCTGGCACTGGACGCTGGCCTGCAAAAACCTCGCCCGACGAAGCTCGGTCTCCAAGCTGCCCGTCACCCCCGACCCGTGCGCGGTGGAGGCCTGCACGGCAGCTCGGACCATGTGATGCGCTACGCGCTTGCGTAGCTTGCTGGCAATAGCGACTATCCTGCGATGTCTGGCGATGGCGGCGACCCTGCGACCGCGCTTGGCGGATCGCTTGATGACCCCGCCAGCCGCGTAGTCCACCCCCAGGTTACGTTCCGACTGGACGGCGAGAACCCGACGAGAGCTGAGAGCGGCGGCGAGCTCGTGCCTGAGCCTGGGGGTGGACGCGAGAACTCTACTCTTCTGCCTGTGCACTGGCAGGTGTATCTTCTCTAGCTCGTGATGTAGCATGATGGTGGCTCTGGCCAACTCGCACTTGACGGATTGATGCGGGCCGACCTTGTGCAGCCCAAAATCGTCAACGACAACTCCTAACTTAACTTCTTGGCGGGTGCACGGAGCAAAGGCTGCCTGGACGGTGTCAAGCGGACAAAGAAGCACCATCTGCAGGCAAAGCGTAGCAAACTGGCATCCAGCTAGCACGGCCAGCTGGGTGACGACGGGCTGCGAACTGACGCCAGAGTACTCGAGCACCCGAGGCAGACGATACAAGCCGACGAGCAGCCGAAGCTGTCTCATCGGAAAGCCCGTCTTCCGAGCAGCGTCTAGCAGGACATCGCGTCTGATGCTTTCAAAAGCTTTGCGAAGATCAAGCGGGACAGTGCCTGCGCTCAACTTTTGGCTGACAGCCCATTCCGAAGAGGCAGCCTGGACCCACGCGAACCGCTCCGACCCCCTCCCCGACGTCGACCACCAGAAACTCCGAAAGTTACGTTGCTGCCAATTCAGAAGGAGGGGCCTACGAAGGCGCGCCTGCACGCGCGCTAGCACATGCAGCAATGCGATGATGGGTCGCAGCCACTCGGTCCAGCAGCTGGGCCAGTCCAGCTTGCTTTCGACGACGAGGATGAGGAGGCGAAGGGAGGCGAGACCATCGTCGCAGAGGTCGAGGAGCTGGCGAGGTCTGATCTGATCGAACCCTGTGCCTGAGGACGCTTTGAAAGTCTTCAGGCAGGCACGAAGGTCGTCGACCGAGAAATCTGGCAGCGGCGGTCCCATGTCGGCTGGCCAGGCGAGCGGGGTCTCCTCCTCCCCAACCCTCCAGAACGAACTCCGCTCCTCCACTAAGAGCTGCATCTCCTGCTGCAGCGAGGCTGGGGCAGTCCTGGCCTCGCCAGCAGCGCTGAAGGATGGGCTAGGATACCAGGGCGTCGGAGGCTTGCTGACTGCGAATAGAGCGCCGCCTCCAGCGTCGCTGTGCTTGCGGGCCCAGGTCTTCCATTCCTGGCCCCGCTTCCGCTCGGCGTCACGCTGAAAGGCGGTGGCGAGGTCACGGGCCTCCGAGCACAAGACGCGCGCGAGCGACCAATCGATGTAACTGGCGCCATGCAGGAGGGAGCGCCATGCGCCGACGTGCCGAGTTGGAAACCTATACGAGGCTGTGGCCTGCTGACGCGCTGCCGCGAGCGTGGCGGCCCTGTCGTCAGCAGTCTGAAGCTTGGCAAGGTCGCATAAAATCTGAACCAGCCCTCGGAACCAGACGGCCAGGGCTGAGGTGCGACGGAACAAAGGGGAGCGAGGCACAGGCGCGCGCTTGCTCTGCACTGACAGCGGCTCACTGCGGCCCGCGTAGCGCGCGGCCTCGTCGTCGGGAATCTGGTATATCTCGAGAAACTCGTGCTCCATGGCCGTGACGAACTGTCTCCAAGCATCATCAACGCCGGGCTGTCGAAGAAGGAAATCCAACACAGGATCCCAGCGCTGGCTGGGCGGGTAGCAACCTGCTGGCAATTTTCGCGGAAACTGCCTAGGTACTCTGACGTGCGGAAGCTGCGGGGTCTGCTTCGAGCCCTGCAGCGTGAGCTTGACTGGCTTGTGGTCCTGCGTGCCCACGCCATTGAGCACGCTGATGGCGGCGTCGTAGTGCAGGCCGTTCGAAACCACGTAGAAGTCCAACACCCGCGGCGCCTCCTCTGGTACAGGTGGGGACGGTGGGCGCGAGCGCTGTAGCCTGGAGCGACTCCGTCCATCCCGTGCCCTGCAGCTCCTGGGGGGCGATGTTCCAGTCGCCCGTGACCACGAACGGCAACCCGTACCGATAGAGGATGCCGCCGATGCGCGTGAGGAGCTGCCAAGTCAACTGTGTCACGCACTGCGAGTCGAAAAGATACAAGTTGACCCAGAGAACGCCTCCTGGGCAGACAGCCGAAAGATGCAAAATGCTGACTCTGGCATTTTCAATGCAGAACTCTTGGTCGGGGAGCTCTGCCAACCCAATACGCCTGTGCACCAATTGAAGGAGACCCCCCGTGGTGCCACCTCGAGCCGTGACTGCTGCTGGCAGCCCCTTGGCTGCCAAGCCTAGCACGCGAAGCCGAGCTTCCCATGCTTCAACTTGCGCCACGTGGTGCTCCTGGACGCACACTGCGATAGAGTCAAGAACTGACTGCGACTCAAGCAGACATTCGAGACCGAGCCTGCCCGTGACATTGGCCGTGACGAAGTCCCATGGCCGATAGTCAAAGAGACGATCTTCCCGTGCGAGCCCGCTTGGCCTGGTGATCTTGCATGTACCGCATGAGCTCGTTGAAGGTGGACAGGGAGATGTGCTCTGCTTTGCGCCGAGCTCCGTCGCCGCCGTCGGAGTCGCCTTCCTCATCCACAGGCATGTCCTGGGCGGCGCAGAACTCTTTGTAGAACTGGTTGTTGGGGTCCATGAAGATAGACCAGTCAGGAGGCTGAGGAGCAGCAGCTTGAGGAGGTGCTGCGGCCGCGGCAGGCTGCCCCTCGGGCTGCTGCACCGCGGCATCCGCGGGTGCCGTATCTGCGCCTGACTCCCCTGGGGCCTGGGCAGGCGGCGAGGGGAGCTTGGCGCGGATGGTCTCCGCGAGCGCACGGAGCTGCTGCGCCTCGTCTGGCACGGCGGTGCCCAAGGAGGCCGCCATGGCCTCCAGCTGCGCCAGCTGGTCGCCGACGGGCACCTGGGGGACCCCAGCCATGGCGCTGTAGGCCTCTGCGGCCTGGGCGGCGGCGGCGGCCGCCTGCTGCTTGAGATCCTCGAGCTGGTCGCGGCACTTTGCCATGTGTTGCATGGCCTTGACGGCGGCGTCCTGGGCACGGTCGAACCGCGACTGCGCTTGTGCGACCTGCTGTCGGAGCGAGTCGGTGGCCTGACGCGCTGCCTTGGCCGTGGAGGTGGGAGCCCCTGCGTCGAGGGCGCGCTTGGCCGCCACACGGTTGACGTGCTTGGCGGGCCAGCCCTCGGAGAGCAACTTGAAATCTGCCTCGGGCATGCGCGCGTAGGCGGCGATGAGCTCTTCCGTGAGCGTGGCCTGCTGCGGCTGCTTCGGCGCACTGGGTGGTGGACCCTTGCGCCAGACTCCTTGAACGGGTGCGGCGCGCCCGCTGCCGCCAGGGGAGGGACCCGTGGGGGCGTGACCACAGATGCGGCAGGTGGAGCGCCATACGTAATTGCCTCGGTAGCCGCAGCGCTTGCTGGGGCAGGTCCAGCAAGAGAAGCCATCCATTGTAAGCGAAACAGAGGTGCAAGAGGCCGCAGCCGCGAGGGATGAAACCTCACTACGGTATGCGGACTCCTTGAGACCGTTGAAAGCAGGTGGGGCCGCGACTTCCCCTTGCCAAAATAACTCAGTCCACTTGAGCAATGCCTCCGGACTTGAGCCAAAATGGCTACGGACCTTCCTGCTGCTCCTCCTCCTCCTCCTCCTCCTCCTCCTGCTCCTGCTCCTGCTCCTCCTCCTCCTCCTCTTCCTCCTCCTCCTCCTCCTCCTCCTCCTCCTCCTCTCTCCCCTCCCCTCCCCCTCCCCCTACCTCCTACCTCCTACCTCCCTCCTACCTCCTCCCTCCAACCTCCTACCTCCTACCTCCTACCTCCTCCTCCTCTCCTCCTCCACTCCTCCTCCTCCTCCTCCCCCTCCCCCTCCCCCCTCTACCTCCTACCTCCTCCTACCTCCTCCTCCTCCTCCTCCTCCTCCTCCTCCTCCCTCCTCCTCCTCCTCCTCCTCCCCATCCCACCTCCCCCTCGTACATCCCACCTCCTACCTCCTACCTCCTACCCTCCTCCTCCTCCTCCTCCTCCTCGTCCTCCTCCTCCTCCTCCTCCCTCCTCCTCCTCCTCCTCCTCCTCCTCCTACCGCCTCCTCCTCCTCCTCCTCCTCCTCCTCCTCCTCCTCCTCCTCCTCCTCCTCCTCCTCCTGGGAGGCCCGGAGGAGCGGGAGGCCGTCGCCCGCGTCCGCGGCGCCCGCGGCGCCGCCGTCCCGCTGCTGCGGCTGGCGCTCCCGGTCCAGGACCCGGCGTTCGCGGGCCCGCTGGCTCTGCTGCGCCTGGCTCGCGCGGAGGGGGGTGGGGCGGCGGACGGCGGTCGCGCCCCAGAGGCAGGGGGCAAAGGACGGGGAGCAAATGATTAGAGGCCTCTCATCTGTGGTTTCTCTCTCTCTCTCTCTCTTTCTTCTCTCTCTGTTTCCACTCGTCCAGGCGAGCCCGTGCCCTTGTGCATCGTCGTGTGAAGAAGGCGATCGGGATGGCCCAACACGGGTGAACTCGAGAGGTGGTGGACAGGCAACCACCGACTTCGCACGAGCAAAAGAGACCCAACCAGCAAGAAACAGGAGTCAAACGGAAGGACGAAGGAGATGGCAGAGGCCGAGAGGCCAAGAGAGGAACACCACGCCATTTAAGGAACTCAGCCTGTCAAACAATAACACTCAGCCTGACAACACTCAGCCTGATTCGAGGTAAGCCAAATAGGGTCGAGTGAATGAGGTCGCAGGATCGCGCCACATCGCCAATGCGTCGCCGATGCATCGGCGATGCGTCGGCGATGCATCGGCGCCGTCGGCGTGGAGAACTCGGGCTCCACATCGAGCAGCATCGCCGATGCATCGGCGATGCGGCGCGATCCTCCGACCCCATCTATTCGGATCAGCTCTGGGAGGCCTGGAGAAAGATGGGGAACTACTGATCGGTGGCTGATGGAAACCGCCCTGGGTCTCGAAAACGTTCACGACATCTTCAGACACTTCTGAACATACCAAGCGTTGCGGCGTTGCCCCTGTGCCATGGATGGGTCGGCCGTGGTCGGCCTAGCAGGCCAAGGTTCGGGCCGCCGTGAATCGGATCTCGAGGGCGTCTTGGGGGGCAACATGGGCCTCCCTGGGAGGGAGCTCGTCGGGGATCGAGGGTCGAGGGCGTCTTTGGGGACATGTTGGGCCCCCCTGGTGGTGAGGGAGCTCTTCGGGGATCGAGGATCGGGGCTCAAGTTCGTCTGGGGGGACATGTAAGTCGTCCCTGGGAGGGGGGGCTCTCCGGGAATCGAGGACCGGGGCTCGAGGGCGTCTTGGAAGCTCTTCGGGAAACGAGGATCAAGGCTCGAGGTTCGCGGGCGCCTTGGGGAACAGAGGTTCAGGGACGAGGTTGAGAAAGGGGGCTCGAGGTTCGAGGGCACGCCCGGGGGCAGCGTGAGACTCCCCTGCGGGGGGAGCCGCTCGGGGATCGAGGATCGGAGCTCGAGGGCGCCCTGCGGGGCATGCTGCGGGATCTTCGGGGATCGAGGCTCGGGGCTCGAGGGCGTCGTGGAGAACATTGCCCCCTTCCCCTGGGACGGGGCTCGTCGGGGAATCCGGGGTCGGCGCTCGAGGTTCGATGGCGCCTTGGGGGGCGTGTTGGGCCTCCCTGCGGGGGGGGGGGATGGGGGGGGACTCTTCGGGGATCGGGGCTCGAGGCTCGAGGGCACGTAGAGGGACGTGTTGGGCATCCCTGCGGGGGGGAGGGGGGGGACTTTTCGGGGATCAGGGGTCGGGCTCGAGGTCCGAGGACGCCTTGGGGGTCATGTTGGGCCTCCCGGCGGGGAGAGCTCTTCCGGGATCGAGGATCGGGGCTCGAGGGCGCCTTGGGGGACAGTGTGGGCCTCCCTGCGGGGGGAAGCTCTTCGGGGATCGAGGATTGGGGCTCCAGGTTCGAGGGCGCCTTGGGGGACCTGCGGGGGGAGCTCTTCGGGGATCGAGGATTTGGGCTCGAGATTCGAGGACGCCTTGGGAGACATGTTGGATCCCCTCTGCGGGGGGAGCTCTTCGAGGATTGGGGCTCCAGGTTCGAGGGCGTCTCGGAGGATATGTTGGGCCTCCCTGCGGGGGGAGCTCTTCAGGGATCGAAGATGGGGGGCCTCCCCCGCGGGGGGAGCTCTTAGGGGATCGAGGATCGGGGCTCGTCGGGGCACATGGTGGGGCCTTCCCTGCGGGGGTGGGGCTCTTCCGGGATCGAGGATCGGGGCTCGTCGGGGGACATGCTGGGGCCTCCCCTGCGGGCGGGGGAGCTCGTCAGGGATCGAGGAGCGCTTCGGGGATCGAGGCTCGCTGGGCTCGTCGGGGGATCTGTTGAGGCCTCCCCTGCGGGGGGGGGCTCTTCCAAGATCGAGGATCGGTGCGGGGATCGGGGATCGGGGCTCGTCGGGGCACATGTTGGAGCCTCCCCCACCAGGGGGGGAGCTCTTCGGGGATCGAGGACCGGCTCGGGGATCGGGGATCGGGGCTCGTCGGGGGTCCTGCTGGGGCCTCCCCTGCGGGGGGGGAGCGCTCTTCGGGGATCGAGGCTCGCTGGGCGCCCCGGGGGGCTCTCTCCTGCCACCGCGGCCCGGCTCCCCCTGTGGTGGACCGGCCAGGAGGCACCCCGGGGGAAGGGCCCGGAGGTCGATCTGTTGACAAGGGGGTGGGGGGAGGGGGAAAATAGCAGAGGAAACGTGCAGCTGTAAGACGTCCGATCTGTCACCTCGTCTGTTGCTCATCGAAGGGGTGGGGGGAGGGGGGGGAAGGCTTCTTAGAAGGAGGCTGGTTCCTAGGAGGAGCCGTTCCTGCATCTGCAGACAGGGCCCGCGCCTTCTCAGAAGCAGGGGTGCTTCTGAGAAGCCCTCCCCCTCCCCCTACGTACCCCTCTCTGCGCGTGGCCGAAGGATGCCCAACGCGTCGTTCCTGTTTGCGCGATAGCGGTCGTTACCGGCCCTGGTCGCCCCCGCCCCCCTTCCCCCAGGCAACGTCGCGATTCGTGCTGACATCCGAGGTGTCGCTGGTCGTTCCTGGGGATCCCCGGGCGGCGCTGGCGCGAAACGCGACCTGACCGCCCCCCCCGTCCCCCGTCCCCCCCCTCCCCACCCGTAACGCCCCGCCCTCGCCTGGGGATGACCAGAACGCTCTCCAGGATGTCCAGCGCGACAAGGCGCAGGGCTTCTGCTTGTCATTCACGCCCTCGGGCACCCGCTTCTCGGGCCCATCGGGGCCGTCCAGGCAGGGCTCGGGGTGCAAAAAGCAGCTCTCTCTGGCGCCAGCGCACTCTGCACATCGAGCCGCCGAAGGCCTGGGAAGAGGCATCGGCAGTGGCCTCGGCCCAGGCGACGCGGCGGACGTCCTCCAGCAGGGCTTCGCGCTGCTCGCGCAGGCCCTCCGCCTCCCTTCGCATCCCTGTCCGTCCCTGTCCCGCCCACGGGGAGGAGGCGAGGTGGTACTGGCGAGTGGGCAAGGAGAATGAGTACGTGAGACGGAAGGAGGAATGAAAGGAGAGGAGGGGAGGAATTGGATGGGGAGGGCAGGGGACAAGGGGCGAGGGGGAGGGCAAGGAGAAGGAGGGGTTACGGAGGCGGAGTGGGGGTAAGGATTGAGGGAGAAGGATCATAAGAAGGAAACGGGGTAGGGTAGGGGAGACGGAGGTAGAAGGGGGAGGAGGGAGAGGAGGAAGCAGAGCTGAAGAACAGCGAGGGGACAGAGAAAAACGGGGCGAAGGAGCGAACGGGGGCAAGAAAGGCGGAGGAGCAGATACAAGTCGTGAAAGACGAGACCCTGCCAACCAAGTCGCTGGCCCCGAGAACGAGATCTGTCAGACGCCCGATGTGCCTTTTCAAACCCATGGCTCTCGGGGGGTGGTCGGCGAGCTCCCAACTCCGCCGCCTCTCCACGGTCCCATGGCACGAGAAGAGCGAATGGAACACAGGTATACCGTGTCCGAGCACTCTCGAACAATCGACGACTCTCGAACAATCGACGAGCACCAGATGTCGAGACGAAGAAGAGAGGAGCCAGGAGGACGGAGGAGAGACGAGAGGAAGAGAGGCGATGAGGGAAGAGGGCAGGAGAGGGGAAGGGCGGACGAGGGCAGGACCGCGGAGGAGCAGGGAGGAGAGAGAGAGAGAGAGAGAGCAGGGATGAGCAGGGAGGAGCGAGGCAGGAGCGGGGCCGGAGGGAGGAGGGAGGGCGGTGGCAGGAGGGAGGGAGCGCGGAGGGCGGCAGGAGCGCGGGGGCGGGCCGGGCTGGCCGGAGGCATGGCACCGGCGCCTTCTGCGGCAGCGTGTCGTGGTGGAGGTCGTCTCGGCGCACCTCCTCCAGCGCAACCTCGGAGAGGCCGCTCCCCCCGCACGCCCCCCGCCCCCTCCGCGTCCCGGGGCCGCCCTTTTGGGCGCCCTCCTGGGGCCGTCCAAGGGGGGGAGCTCGGGCAGCCCCGGGGCCAGAGGGCGGGCTCCAGGGCGGAGTTGGGGCCGCGGGGGGCGCTGTGGCAGTCTTGGGGCCGTCCTGGGCCCTTCTGCGGGCCGTTCCGCCGCCCCCCCCCCGCCCCCTCTCTGCCCCGCCCAGCATTCGCCCCCGCGCACCGCCTCCTCGAGGCCTCGGCCTTCCCCTCATCCTCGAGTCCTCCGCCTCCGCCTCCGCCTCCACCTCCTCCTCCTCCTCCTCCTCCTCCTCCTCCGCCTCCACCTCCTCCTCCTCCTCCTCCTCCTCCTCTTCACCCGCTCCTTTCCTTATAACTGTTTAGCTCCTCGCTGTCGAACCCCCTGGCGTGTCGGTAGGGCGGGCCGGGCGTTTCGCCTGAGACTTCCTCGCCATGTGTGATCCTGGAGCTTGAAATTTGCATTCATTTCACAGATGGAAGGCGGGCCAGTTTCAACATGCTGCTTCCGTCGTAGCGCCGCGCACAGTCGTTCAAAACTTCGCAGCAGTTTCACTGATGGTGGGCGGGCCGCTTTCAAAATGTGGCTCTCGCCTTAGCGCAGTGCACATTCGTCTTAAACATTTGCAGCAGTTTCACGGATGAAGGGCGGGCCGCTTTCAAAATGTGTCTCTCGCCTGAGCGCCGCGCACATTCGCATTATACATTTGCAGCAACTTGAAGGATTCGTATGGCTAAAGTCGCAAGAATGATGTTCTGGCACGATTTAAGATTGCCAAGACGTGCCAACTACACTGCTTCCCTGTGGTACGATTTCAAATTGTCAGCACGCAACCGTCATGTTGATTCGCGGCGTTGGCGTCGCGGAAACTACGTCTTGGCACGATTGAGAATTCTCAAACGATTGTCTTCGATTGGACCACTTCCCGCAATGAAAACGTCTTCTTTTGGAAACCTATGAGAAAAGAATCTGGAAGGAGGGTGTATTGCAACATCGTTGATGCATGTTGGGTTTACACTGGTCCTCCTCTTCCTCCTCTTCCTCCTCCTCTCCCCCCTCCCTCTGCCCCTTCCCCGCTCCTGGTCTCCCCTGTCCTTGCCGTCCTGCATGCCGCAGGCCGCACAAGAGGAGGACAACTCGGCAGAGGCCAGAACTGACCTCGGCCGGCGACACGTTCTGCGGCAACTCACGGGAGCCTCACATACAATCTTTGTGCCTCTCGCGACTCGACGCCAGTCGACACTAATCGACGCGAGATCGACACGAATCGACGCAAAATCTGCGCAGTCTCAGTGATTACCCGACGCTAGCCGACGCTAGTGCACTCAAACACATGAACTACGAGAGCATAGAAGGTTCGCATGATCTGTTACCGCACGACATGGCCTGTTTGCCCGCACGCCAAAAATGAAGGCGGGCGCGCGGCTAAGTTTACGCACGGAACATTGTGTAGTGGTGCGGGGCGGTGGTGGTACAAGGGCAAGGCCCAGGCCCTTTTGCCCCAGCTGGCTCCCAGCCGAGAAGGCGGGTACCATTTTCGCGTGGGGCCCAGGACGAGGGCGTCGATCCAGAGCTGTGCCTGAGCTGCTCAAGCCTCGATCGCTCTGCCAGGTGGTTGTGGGTCAACGTCCTGGGACCACCATGTGACCACGTGTGACGAAATCATCCTTGAAGTGCTTGCGAGCATGCTTCCCGGGCAAGCGAGAGCGCCGAACGGGGCAGACCTGCAACTCAGACCCCAGCAACCTACTCAAATCGCATCTGCCTGGTCAACCATACCTGCATTGAGGCCGTCCGGGGCAGAAGGAGCTGCTGGCCCAACCCACGATGTCGTCGATGCTTGAGGTCGTGTTTCCCTTTGGACATTATGATTTGCGCGGGCATGTTGCTAGGCGCAACAGGCTTTCTACTAATGTCTCCATCTCCCGCGCCATCAGTGCAGGGTGAACTCTTTTACGTCGATGAGGTCGTCCAGCGTTCCGTAGCACTGGGCGGGATTTCAGAATTTTGCGGCGTCGAGCTGGCCAATTAACATGTCCTGCACATGTCGGCAGGCGGCTTTCTGTGCCTGTGGGGCCGACTGCTGGCACCTTACAGAGCCCAGGCCGTTGGAACCTCCTCAGTCACAACCACGTCCACGACCCAGGCTGGTCTAACACGGGGACCTCGGGAGGCTATCCCCCGAATGCGCCTCCGAGTGGTCCTCCACCTCGGCAAGACCGACTGATGGCCGCGGGGTCTCCTGGTTTGACCTCTTTTCTGGTGGCCACCTCTCGCAGCCCCGCCTGTCTTGGCCTTCTTCGCCACCTTCGCGTCGGCATCCTGGAGCGGTCTGCCCCGGCGTTCGATCATCCAGGGAACGGCGGAGATACGCAAACAAGAACGATTATCCACCGATCTGCAAATAAGCATATGACCGACAAGACCCAACTCACGCGCTCAATCAAAGGGAATACAATTCCTACGTAATTGCCGAGGGGACCCGCACTCACACATTGCTGTCCTTTTCCGCGCCGAATGATACCCTTGCTTCCTCGCCAGACCTGCTCCGCCAAACAACTTTTCCGAGTGCTGAACTAGCTGAGATGGGTCATACTCAAAACTGTTCTTCAGACGACTCTATCGCGTTGACCCGTAGCAACTTGATCGGCTGACGATGGTGATTCCAGAGACTGGTCAAGCAGGAGGATAAAAGAGGCGGCAAACCATCTCGCGGTGGAACGAACGTCGTTCAATTTCCACGACCCCCTGAAGAGTCAATCTGCGGGTGGGATCTGCTCGCGAACGCACGGCCAACAGTCACACTCTTCGAGCGCCAGCGGGCAGGCGCCTCGCCCCGCCGTGAACCCACGCACGCCAGGCGCGCGCGGGCAAGCCGTCGGCCCCTCACGGGGCAGTGGCAAGGCAGCAGCCGGGCCAGCGCAGGCCCGCGGGCGGCCCCGGCCCGCGGGCGCCGGGGCGGCGGACGAGGCAGCGAGCGGGGCGGCGGGGGGCAGCGAGGCCGCGGGGGGCAGAGGCCTGCAGCGGACAAGGAGCACGCCAGAGCTGGGCGGGCGGTGGGGCGGCGAGAGGCCGCGCCCGGGGGCAGCACCGGCGGGGGAAGCCGGCACGGAGCGAGAGGCGCCAGCAGGCGGGAGCCGCGAGCCAGTGCGGGCGACGCCCTGTGGATCGCCAAAGGTGGCGAAAGGGAGGTGGCCCGCCAAGAGGGGCCACGAGGACGCCCGCCGAGACGGTGCCAGAATCCTCATCAAGACGAGTGCACCGACGTGATCGTCACAGAGGTCCCACCCAGCGGCGGTGAGAGGGTCAGCGGTGGCGCGCAGCGAGGGAGCCAGCGCAGCTTGCAGGCCAACAGTCACACACTTTGTTACGTCTTCGGCTCGGCAGAGTGACTAAGCTGGCGGAATAGCACTAGCAGGGCATGCGAATGCGAATTAGGCCGCAATGCGCGGGGGAGAGAGGAGGAACGCCTGGCGCGGGCAGGCGGGAGACGGAAGCCGAGCCCAGCACACAGTCACACACACATACACACACGCACACACACACACACACACGCGCACACACACACACACACACACACACACGCACACACGAACACACGCACACACACACACACTTCCTAAGAATGCCGCTCGCGCAGTGTCTGAGGCGTGCCAGATCGGAGAGAGTCGCCGCCGCTCTGCCCCCTTCTGCGGCATGACCCTCGTCGACCTCCCGCGCCTGAGAGCGAGGCGCAGCGCCACCCCCGGCCCTTGCCCAGGCGCGAACCCGAGCAAGACCGAGGCCCCCGGCTGATCCTCCAGGCACCACGCTACCCACCGACGAGGACATTCACATCCGCAGTCTCTGAGCAGCGACGTCGGCCGAACTCCCCTGGGCGGCCGAACGGATCGGGGAGGGTCGCCCGCGCCCAGTCCTCCCCAGGCGGCGAAAAGGATGGCCTCCGCCCTCCCGAGACGAGCCTGGATGCCGTTCCTCGCACTGCCCTGCTCAAGCGTCGCCTCAACCCCCTTCACAATGAGCGATCTCAGGGGTCAGTCTTTTGGCACATCCATCCCCTCTGAAGCATGCCTGCCTTCCAAGAGATCTAAAAAGACTACTGCAGCCGCAAGGCAGCAGAGAGGATGCGGTCCGACACGCGCCCAAGAATTACTGACCTGTTGGCTTCACGCGCAGTGCACTCACAAAACAGTGTTCAAGGCTGTCAAATCTCTGGCTGTGCACTACGCACGCTCGCACAACCCCCTGTCTTCTCACGACTCACAACTCATCAAGCGCGCCGAAGGGTCAGGCCTCCCAACCAGCGCTCAAACGTGACGCCTGGCGCTCAGCTCCTACCCTCCCAACTCCCATGGACGGCCTCGCCCCGCACAAGAAGGCGGGACGTAGCCTGGGATGAGAGGGAGGAGGGAGAACGACTTGCGGCGGCTGGGTGACCCCCCCACTCTATCCTCCTCCTCCTCCTCCTCCTCCTCCTCCTCCTCCGCCTCCTCCGCCTCCTCCGCCTCCTCCGCCTCCTCCTCCTCTTCGCGGCCTTCACGTCGGGCGGCTCCATCCCCTTGGAGCGTGCGTATCTCCGGTAGTGCTTGTAGAGGTCCTTCAGCAGAGCGGCTACCCGATCCACGGCATCGGAGTAGGACTCGAAATCTGTGCAGCTGACGTTCAGCTGCAGGGGCATGTTCGCCTCGGGATCTCCGCCGTGCAGGGCATTCAAAGCACATCCCCACCACGAACGCACACTCACATAGGCACATGACAGGCCAGACTCCGAGCACAGACGTATCATGTTCTGGCCAGAACCCAGGAGAGCCCAGAATCGAATCGACAAGTCGAATCGGCGACCGAAATGACTCGGATCGGCGGAAATCGGCAGCCAACGCGGGAGGAGTCGAATCGGCGGAAATCGGCAGAGTAGTAAGGCTTCAGAGAGGAATCATCATCCAAATCGGAATCCGAAGTCGAATCGAATCGGGATCGGCATCCATCGAAATCGCATCGAATTTGAGACATCGACACGAGCCCTGCGAACCCTGTGGACGCACCCTGCCCCGGGAGGCCCTGCGAGGCGGACCCAACCTGGCTGCGAGGCACCCCCGAGAGGCACCCGGCACAGACCGGGCCGCTCCTGCGCGGGGCGGCGCGCAGGCCCTCGGCACGTCCCGACCGCCCCAACCCCCCCCCGCTCGCAGCCCGAATTGCATGCTCACGCCAGCAGTGTGCAGCGCCGGCTTCTCTGGGCATCGCTCGGACGTCCATTCCCTGTGCTGTTTTCGGTTTCGTGCGTGGTTTTTTCGCCAATTGATCAAGGATGCTCCTCGATGGTCCTCGCCGAAGGAAAAACGCACACGTCCGAGCGATGCCAAGTTCTTCCCCCCCGGCCATGCCCGCCGTTTCGCTGGCAGCGCAGGCGAGCACGCCCCGGAAGTCTGCGCAGGGCAAGGCTGAGGAAGTGAAGGGGGACGTGCTGCAGTCGTGGATCGGGTGTCTGGTGGGCTTCTGCATGCCACCCCGCATCTCCGAAGAAGCTTGTAGGGATCTTAGAGTAGATAGATGCACGATTAAAGAAGGCTCCGAACCAATGTTTGGATATGTGCCACTCGGCGCGAGCAAAATTTGAAGTCACCTCTAAAACGTCTAGGATGATTTGAGAAGGGATACCAAACAGCAGATACGAAATTATGGGAACAAATCTGTGAACTTCTAGAACCAGATGTTTATCCATATGCACTGCGACTCTGTGTTTTGCCATCCATCCCTTCCCTATCCAACCAAGACGAAGTGGAAATGGACATGAAAAGTGGCCACATCGATGGGTAAAGAGAGGGACAACAGCGTGCAGAAACAAGCGCAAATGTAGCATTCCCCAAATGGTCGATCAGGCGACGTTATGAGAAGATCACACGCAACCAGAAGCGACTGAAATATACCGATACGATCATGATAAATGCAGGCCGATGGTAAGTTAGGTATTCGAGGTCCAGATGTCAGTGCCTGCCTTTGCTTGCTACTAAATCCCACCAGCCCTCTGGGCGTAGGTGGTTTGGCGAACTTGTGTCTTCTCTCTGCTAAAATCCCTCCTTCCCCTGCTCGGGGGAGGAGTTTATCATTGCACCCTACTTGTAAACGCCCCCTTCCCCCGGCGACCCGCAGCCAACTAGGAACACTGCAGACCCAATGATCACCCCCCAACCATCCCTGTCAAACAAAAATACAAACACACACTCTGCCTCCAAAGACAGAGAATGCGCAACCAATCCGATGCGCCCCCCCACCCCACCATATAAAGTACACTTTGGGGCAAATTCTTGAGTCATGTTCGTGAGGTCCGCGAGCACGTTGTCTTGTTTTTGGAAGGGACGGCGGGGGTGTCAGCATATTGCCTGCTGTGCGCAGGGCCACCAACCCAGTCAAAAAAACAATACAACAAGTACCTCGCAGATAAATCTGGGTCATGCGCGGCCACCCTGCGATCACTGTCAAGTGGTTTCCGTGGGGGTGGTGGCGTATGGCCTGCTGTGCACAGGCCCACCAGATACCATAATGGGCATTGGTTTTAGACGAGGATGGAGGAGGGCGACATGTGTCCCGATGTGCGCTGTCACGTGCGCAGGCGCACCTGACACACTCGGCACGTGTCCCGAACGTGGCGCACCTGGCGCGGCTGGAGTGTGCGGCACACCTGGCGAGCTTGGAGCACGTGGCACATCTGGCGCACCAGCCGTGCCTGGCACCCTCAGGCCCAAGGGTGCCTGGCGCGCGTGGCACGCCTGGCACGCGTGGCGCACCTCGCCCCAGCGTCGCGCACGTGGGGTCGGTGTTGGTTCCCAGTAGCTGTCCATCCAAAGACGACCGCTGAACATGCTCAGGCTCGGGTGTTCCTTATGTGTTGGGAGGGCGGGTGGGAGTGAGCTAGACGGCTTGCTATCGAGGGGGTGTCTTGGTCACTGTTCCCTATTAAGAAACATCCCCTCCCTCACCTGGCCGGCAGCCAACCCGGAACCAAGCGGACACCCCCCACCATCCCTCTCAAAAAATATACAAAATACACTTTGCGGGGCCCACCATGCCAACACCCTCCACAATCCCTGCCAAAAAACAATACGAAGTACACATTGCAGCAAAATCTGGACAGTGCGCTGGCGCCCTGTGAGCAAGTTGTATTATTTTTTGACAGGGATAGCTGGGCATCCTTAAGCCGCGTTGTGCAGGACCACAATCCGTGTCAAAAACAATGCAAAGTGCACGTTGCGACAACGTCGTGGGTATTGTGCTGGCCACCCGCGATCACTTTGTTTTGTTTTTTGACAGGGACGGCGGTGGTGCCCGCATGATGATGCTTGCTGTGCGCATGCCCAGAACAATGCTAACGCCCCCCACATTAGCATCTGGACCATGCGGACTGGGGGGCACCACGTTTTTACGAGGATGGCACACCAATCGCATGTGGAGCCCGCGGCAAGCGTCGCAAACCTGGCGTCCGCTTTGGTTCCAGTGGCTGTGCATCCAGTGGCGACCCCTGGCAATGCCGAGACTCGGATGCCACGTATGTGGTGGGAGGGCGGGTGAGAGTGAGCTACACGGCTTGCGTGCGGAGAGGGTGCTTTGACCCCTCCCCCTATCCCCTCCTCTGGGCCTGGGGGGAGGGGGGGAGGGCAATGTGTCAGAGGATGTTGTTGTCCGTCCAAGAGATGATTCCAAGAGGGCCTCCGCGAGTCCAATGCAGTCTCCAGGATGAGTCAAGATACCTTCGACGTAAATCCAACAGGTGTCAAGATGGCCCCGAGACGGTGGCCAGTCCCCGCCGAGCCCTTCGAGGACCCTCCCCCCAAGAGGCCAAACATTGTTCGAAACCCAAGGGAAATCAATGTTTGGTGCCTTCTCGCGTTTTCGCTTCCGATGGGCTTCTGAGGTCTCAAGACGGTTCCAAAGACGGCTCAAAAAAGACCCAAGAGGGGCCCAAACCCAAACTCCGTCCTTCTGCGCCATGGGGACCAAAATGCCTCCCGGACCCTTCCAATGAGCCCCAAGAGGGCCCCAGGAGTGTCCTTGGAGGCCCCACGGGTACCCCAAGAGAGCCCCTAAGATGGCCTCAATCGCCCTGCAAGAACGTCTCACAACAACATATCTCCAGAACCCGACTTCTCATTCTCCTTTTCATCGTCCTGTCATTCCCTCCGCCTTTCCTGCCTCCTCCCTCCTCATCATCCTCTTACTAGTATGTTTCTTATTCGTTGTCTGCTGCTTCTCAGTATTCCTCCTCCTCCTCCTCATCATCCTCCTCCTCCTTGCCCTCCTCCTCCTCCTCCTCCTCCTCCTCGTGCCGGGTTCCTCATGTTCCTCATCCTCCTCCTCGTCCTCCTCCTCCTCCTCTTGTTCCCCCTCCCCATCCTTCTCTCTTGTTCCGCCTCCTTTTTGTTAATACAGCAAAGCCCAGCACCTCCTCCTCCTCTTCCTCCTCCTGCCTCCATGATGTTCTCAGGAGGTCGAGCATGGCTCAAGATAGCATCTGCCAGACCTCCAAGAGGCCCCTAGACAGCCTCAAGATGACCCAAGATAGCTGAGCATGGCTCAAGATAGCCTCCGACAGCCTTTAGCCGAGCATGACTCAGGATTGCCTCCAAGAGGTCACAATCCAGCCTCCCATCGTGTCTGGATGTGCCGGTGGGGATCGGCGAAGCATCAAGAAGACTGGATCAGTATTACCCCCAAATGTTGCGCAATGCCGACACGTTCAGTCCCCGATGCCGCCCCAGCAAGCCCTGCAGACGGCCCGATGCCAGTCCATTCAAACGTAAAAAAACAATGCCCCAGATGGAACCGTCCATGACCACCCCCTGACACACCTCGACTCCTGCAGCCAATCCCCCAAAGCACCTCTCAGCGCGGTGTCGGAGAAATACGCGCGACAACGCGAGTGAGTTCAAACACACCACAGACGTTCCGTACTTTTGATATGCTGTACAAAACCAAGTTTAAGTCACGCGAACCGCCAAAGCCTCCAAGGGGAAATCCCTGAGGTCGTTTTTGGCACCCTGGGAGAAGCTAATCCCCCAGGTCCCACACGTCCCACAGGTCCCACAGGTCCCAGGGGTCCCAAGCGTGTCATACGTCTCACAGGTCCCACAGGCCACAGAGATCCCCCAGGTCCCACAGGTCGCACAAGTCCCACAGTTCCAACCTGCCCCCATAGGTCCCTCGGGTCCCTCGGGTCCCACAGTTCCCAAGGGGCCCGCAAGCTCCACAGGTGCCACAGCTCGTACGGGCGCTTCAGGTCCCAAGTCCCGCAGGTCGTACAGGCCGCACAGTTCCCGTAGTTCCCACGGGCCCGAGAGGCCCCACGGATCCCACAGGCCCCTCAAGTCCCACAGGTCCCACAGGTCCCACAGGTCCCACAGGTCCCACAGATCTCACAAGTCCCACAAGTTCCATAAGTTCCACAGTTTCCTCAGGCCCCACAGGTCCCACAGGTCTCACAAGCCCCACGGGTCCCACCTGTCCCGCAAGTTCAAGAGGTCGCAACCGTCCCATCGGTCAAACGGGCCACACAGGTCTGACAGGTCGCTCAAGCCCCACAGGTCCCAGAGGACCCACGGGTCACACAAGTCCCACAATTCCCGCATGTCCCACGGGTCAGACAGGTCCTAGAGTTCACACAGGGCCCACAGGCCACACGGGTCCCACAGGTCCGTTGCTGCTAGGTGCTTTACTGGGGCAATGTCGTCGGCTACTGCGAGAACAGGTGGTGCGGACGGTGACCGCGAAGCGTCCCGAAATAACAACTGAACAATGCGATTTGAGGGCGGCCCAAGATCACGAGCCATGAGCCCCTGGCAGCGTCGATTGCACTGGGAGAGGACACGCGCGCTTCACGAGAGCAAAGGAGAGAAAACGCCACGAACAGAAATTGTCGGAGATCCGCTCTGATTCTCTGGGTTGGTGTTAGGTCGGACATGCCGTCCTGCAGGCGGATGAACGAAGAGTGAAACATACACCAAAAATGCTCAAAAATATTCAAAATGCACAAAACATACTACCCAGACTATGTGTTTGGACTATTCTTGAATATTCCTCCTGTAGAGGGACGCGCCCGACTTCACCCTGGTCTGACGGAGCGCGCCAGGGGGCTGCTCCAGGTGCGTGGCCACGGGGG